TGAGGTGTCACAACAGCTGTTCTGCTGGTCCTATTTCTCCACTTCCTGCATTATTCACTTGTTTAGTGGATATTCAAAAAGGTAGAGAGCAGACCCTGGAGCAATGTTACACAGGCTACTGTATGGCTTATAATAATGTGTTTAGTGACTTCAACTACATTTACAGCTCTACATGCTGTGCTATCCAAGTGTGGCTAATCAATTCAAGGGAATTACTGATTGGTAAATATCAACGTGCTGGACTGGCTATCTGTGTTATATTCTGCCCTATAACAGAACATTCCTGAGTACATACAGCACACAGCAGGTGACCTGGAAAAATGCAGAAACACTCAATCTAATGCAAAGACTCGGCACAAAAAACTGGATAGATGTTCACAGAGGAATTGATTATAGGTTGTGCGCATTTATTCAAAGATTCAGCTTGGTGCCGGGGAAACCTGAAATCATTGTGGGACAGATAAAGATGTTTTGGGTTTTTTTGCTGCTGCATTCCACAGATTCTATTGATTCATTTCCCTCCCTGTGCTTGACTGCAATCTCTGTTCTGGGAGTGATAAGAACAACAGTCTCTGGAGCTGCAAAAGTAACCTGTTGGTCAACCAAACAATCCACACAGCTCTGACAGTGTGACAGCCTCCTGTTCTCAAAACAAAAACAAAATGCTCCATGGTGAATGTGATTTTGTCCTTCACCTGTATACCAATCTGAGTACCATATGACAGACACATGCACAGAAACTCTCAGTAGCCCTGTTGAGCCTCACACATGTTCCAAAACACGCACAGCCAAAGGAGTATCTGAAAAGCCTCCTCTGTTGAATTGTTGACACAACACCCAAAAGAGCTGCGATAACACTTTGTAAGTCCTCAAATTATAGCTACTCTGTACGTGAGCCAAAGAGATATTTTTCCAAACAAAAGTAGCTTTGAGCTTTGAGTAGCATCTCACCCAGATTTATTAGGATTAACGTTGACATTTGACAGGAAGGTTTTGGCACAAGCACAATGTTCAGTATGAGAATCTCACAGAATGGTAATTATGAGGGAATTTACTACATCTGCCATATGCATGGTAACTGACATATTGTAAAATTCTCCATATTCATGTTTTTGCTCCAAACACTGTGTAGTGAGATGCTGAGCTCAAGCCCTGATTAAATCTGAAAATGGATCCAATCTGCGCTGAGTCTCATCACACACCTACATCCACTCAGCATGAGAGATGCAGCCTCTCATACTGTAAAGGCACATTATTCATAGTTTTGGCTTGTGGTTATTGATAGCTTGCTACTGTTATGGCAGAGACCTACAGCAGGCCTATGTTAGGTTTATATGGAAGATCTATCCACCACAACTTGTCTAGAGAAAGAGGAAGTGGGAGTTACCATGGAGACTGAAAAGATCTATTAATGTTTTTTTGTGTAAATCACATGTTATGAAATACTTTAACAGGAATATTGCAAATGATCCAGCTGCTTAGGAACCCCTAGTGCAGAGTTTAACCCACTGTTTAAAGGAATGTGGTCTTACTGTTGGCTTGTTTCACTTAAAAGCTTTGAAAGAGAATTTTTATTCTGTTTAACTGTTCTGAAGTGGTTGACCTCAGCAAGAACATACAGGCACCGCAATGCAACTTTTAAATGCACGTGACTTATTCGACTATGTATGATTTCCAAAGGGAAACACGACTTACATTATAAAATAATAAAATTAAAATAAATAAACAATCTAGTAAAAGACCACTGAATTTTACTTGTCAAAAAATACGCACTCACCTTGACAGAGTTCCAGATGTGAATTCCAGATGAGGAAAGCTGGGAGTTTTGGAAACAGTCGCTTTATCTAACCCAAAAGGAGATAACACAGCAAATGAGGAGGAACTCAAAACTACAGCCTCAAACTGACAGCATGCCCTCTCCAGTCTCGACATGCACGCACATGAACCATCCGCGACCAACCAGCTCTGAAAAGCAATACTTTCTGCACCGCTGTACGGAAGAGGGCGTCGGTGCGTGACTGACTGGAGCCAAAACTCCAATTAAAAGGCAGAACACAGATAGGCGTCACTTCGAAAGGGCGGGGTTTGTGCCATTGACAGCATCTTTTCCATGACGTGTTGTGGAGCACCTCAAATGCAAGGACACAGCGAGACAGTCAAACTCATCACTTTGCAAGTGAGTCATTTAATTAAGGTCTTTTCAATTTCGAGTTTTATTTCAGATCTAGATTAAACAAACTATATTAGATTAATATCAATATTTCAATCTGATATGGTGTTCATTTGTAGATAAGGAGTGGGATTACTCTTTTTTAGCCTACTCAATGTATGTGAAAGTGAAAATCATGTCGATTGCAGACAGCCGTTATCAGAAAAAACGAAAAAAATTCAGAATGATAAATTACAGAAGACAGGGGCTGAGAATGATAATACAACACCACCTGCTGGACAAACTGCTGAATTACAGTTTTTCAGTCGTGCTCACGTTAAAATGAGAAATACGAAATAGAAGTAGAGCATCATTTTAATATTTGCATATACCCAATGACTATTTGATGGTACATGAAAAAAATATTCCACATCATTTCTTGGTTCATTTTGGGACAACTTTTTTTTTTTTTTGGACCTTCCCACCCCAAAATATTTTTTCGTTGGGCAACGTTGTGCAACAATGGTACAGAATCACATAGAACATTATGAATTCACAGATCATAAGACTATGCTCAGACAGAAATACAAAATCATAAATATTTTTAAAAAATGGCAAGAAATCATTAAGAAAAAAGGAAACAACACTTGAAACACACTGATCAATTGGTTTTGACACAGGCATAGGTTTGTATCATGTAGTGTTTCCTGTCATATAATGTTATTTATGTAATGACATTTCACTCCCTGTGAAACTTCAAAAAGCTGTTCTTTATTACTAAGGGTGTTCCTGTGTGAGGTAGCCTACTGTCCAAGCAGAAATCCTGGTTAGGAATAGATCTGGGTATTATTTTACTTTTATCGATTCCAAATCTGATTCCGATTCTACTTTTTGATTTCGGTTCTTATTGACTCTTGGTTCTGGTTCCAACCCTTTCACCACAGATCTTGTCAGCATTCGGTGACCTATATTCACTTGCTCACCTTCCCCTTCATGGCTAAAGTGAAAGGTGTCTACTGTGTCCTAGAGGGGCGTCTCTGGGGACTCATCTCTAAGAAAAATATATTGGAATCATCTGTAGACATCATTCGTTTCCCTTCAGTATAAATGGTGAATATCAGCTCACCTGTTTTGTACCTGAGCTTGAGACGTTGCTTTGATGACGTACTGCATAACAAATGCCGTGAAATTACGTCCACTTAGCAGGTCCTAGCAGATAAGTGACACTTTTTAATCAATCGGGAGAACCACTGAAACATGCAGAAAGTTAGGAACTGATAAGCAGAATCCAGACGCACGTTTCTTATCAAATCCATGTTTCTTGGAAATGGTTCATGATACCCAACCCTAGTTAGGGATGAGAGTCTTCATCTTCATGCTCCATTTTTATATATTTTTATTGACAGATACCAGTAAGTTTCCAATGCCAACGAAAATACAACAAGAATAACTACAGCTTGATATTTGACCTCTATTTTGTGTATTGTCTGCTATATATATAATTTGAATGATAACCAGAGCTCCTGAAAGAACTTCTGAAGTTATTTTTTGACTTCTGCTCAAACTTTTTCTCCCGTCCACTCCCCCTCACTGTCCCTGCTGTCAGATGGGATGTTACCCAACAAACGAATCCTGCTCTTTAGTTACAAAGAACGATCTTATGTCCATTTTTCTGTGGAAACGTGTTAAATAAGTAAAACTTAATAAATGAATAAGTACAAATATATTTAGAGCTTATATTGTGAACTACTGCATGTGATAATATGTGATAACATCCAAACACGTGGTCAGTAAAAACCTCCTTGAAAAGTAGCCCTTATCGCACAACGTTGCCCTGAGGCAACAAAAAGAAAAACTGAATTTCTGAACATGCAAAATAAAAAAGAAAGTCATAAACCTGACAAAAGGCTTCTCTACACCTTCATACACACAAACATATCTTTTTTTATTAAAGTTCATGTCATTTTATATAAGATTTCTGAACCAAATAATCTTGCTTTCTTCTCACACCACCTGCTCCTGTGACCAAGTGTCAGAAAAGGAAGTTCTGCCTTCAAATGGTGCTTCATAGTGACTCCCACACCTTATTGGACTGTTCTTTGATACTTTTTTGACCATTCGAATTAGTTGAAATCATTTAAAGAAACAAGTACTGGATATGGGGCTTAAGAAAACTTTCCGTTCCCTGAGGGCAACGCTGTACTGTAGAGGGGTAGGTTTGAAAAGTTGAAAGTTTTCATAAATGCAGGTTTGTTGCACGTGCACACTAGCAAAAACGAACAAACAAAAACATCTATTGCGGCAACAAAACCATCTTATCTGCAGAAGTCGTTGGGAGTAGACCCGCAACTTGCGATTGTTTAAAGTCTTCAGCAAGAGAATTGCAGGCTACTCTCCATTTTCCTGTTTGAGAAATTATCATTGGGATTTTTTTTTCTTCCTCTGAAAGTCTGAATGAAAGGCCAACACAACTCAAGGCTGCAGGCTTGCTGTTGAAGGACTTGCTGTCACAAAAAAAAAACCCTTTCACGTCGAGTCAGCCTGACTGCAACAGATTATTTGTGAAAAGGCATTTTTTTTCCTTTCACATCGGCGAGCTAGAAGGTTACTGCAGTACAGAGAGAAAGATTCCGTAACACAGCCAACACAATGCTCTGTGGTGAACTCTGTCACATTTGGGAGGAGGGGGGAGGGGGGGCGCAGGAATCTTAATACAAATGTTCTCCTCTGTTAAATTAGAAAGGTTACTTGAAACACCAAAGTATTCATCTGCTCTGCATTATGAATTTACCACTGCTGAATATCTCTTCTGTGTGGACTGTGTAGGCAGACTGAACTCACAGAAGCCAGCTTTGAAGATTATTTCTTTTATTTTACCCATACAATCAGCTGTGGCTTATGGGAGCCTTATATAAGACCATTTTTGTATTATGGGCCACATCCTGAGCTCTGATGAATACCATATTACAAATGAAAAGCATTGAACCAAAGAGCAAATTAACAATATTTGCAAATTGGCCTGCTGTTCACTATGCTAACAACATACTGAGCAAGTACTGAGTTAAATAAACAATCTGGAAAGTTTCTTGAAAGAAATGATGAATCGCAGCATTTTATTGTGAGCATATAAGAAATCTTACAGCCTTCATAGTTACTCTTTGTTTTTGTGCCGACCACTGTTTGGTGCGGATGTTATGGAAGCAAATTATAGCTGTAATAATTTGAGTCTTACAAGCAACTAAATATCATTTAACCACAACTGTGGTTGAAAATAAAACAACTTAATTTATTGCAGTCTTTGAAAACCATTTATATGAATTGTTGTGGTTTGATTTATGTGGTTCTCTCCTCTACGTTCGTTCAAGCTTTACAAATTCAGAGACAACTCTTCTCAAGTTGCTGAAATTCTGATCTTAAAAATTAAAATCAGCCAAATTCAAGATCAACAAAAAAGTATAACTTTAACATCCAGGCTATGAAGAACACTTCCTCTTGTATTGTAGGCAGATCAGAAACTTGGATAACATGACAAAGTGACTGAACATAACCTGTTTCCTCTCAGGCTCCATTGCTTATTCTTGGAAGCCCATATGTTGAAGTTTGAATTTTGGTGTTTGAAAGATTTTTTGACCAATTCTTTAAATCTGCATTTAACTTACTGAGCAACTTGATGTAATTTCTCTAAATATTAGACTCTGAAGGGGAATTCAAAGCACATAAATTCAGATGATTTTCGAAGTTAAACATTTAATTGCTATAAACTCAGTGGTGGTATTCAGTTAAGGTTACATTTTATAATGAGGTATTCACTTGCTTTTGGGATTCTAAATATTATGGCTATTATTTGCTTCCAGGAAAAGTAAAATTCATGTCCATTAGGTTATCCATGGAGGTAGTAACAGTTGATCCCATAAAAGTTGTGTTTTTTCCCTGTGGCTACATTGTCCCTCAGGTTGACAGCAGCACGTGTGATGGAGCTGTTAAAGTTGCGATGGGCTATCGAATTAATGAATGAATTTTGAAGGTCCAGGAGTCTAACAGCTGCACCTTCTCCACCCACACTCCCAACTCTGTCCACTGAATGAATGCCAGGCAGGACAGGAGGCCTTGGCAAGATGCAGGGGTTAGGCAGCTCTCTGCTCTGTCCCAGTTTCTCTTGCTCTGAAGCTGCCCTTGACAATAAGTTTGCATGTGATTTAATACCTGCAAGGTCTTTGGCTACAGCTGACTCACTAAGGCTAGATACATTTCTTCTGGCTTTAAAATACTTTGTTTTGCTACTTGGTTCAACCTCTACACGCAGCTCCATCATGCTTTTCTGTCTCTTGACCTCCGTCCCTCCGTGGGAAAGTGGGCTGTTGTACAGGTCCAGGGGTCGCTCTGTGTCTGTGATTTGTGCAGCATTAGCCTCTTGGCTGCTCTGTGATACTTGCATGGGACTTTCATCAAACTGGACTTTGCAGTTTACTCCCACCCTGCCCTCATACACAGAGCTTTTGCTCTCAGTTTGTTGTTTGTATAAGACCTCCTGAGACAGCTCAGCTCCCTGTGCTTCTGTGGGGCCAGAGCTGTACCTTGATTCACTATGTCCCCATTGGTTTGCATGCTGTGCCTCTTTATGCTTAACTGTGATCTCTTGCGGCCTGTGTTGGTTTATAGTAGCTGAAGCAGTGCCTTGGTTTGGGAGTTCAGTCTCATCAGGACTGCACATGCTCCTCACCACCACGCAGCTCCCTAGTCTTCTTCTACAACCTCCTTTTGCTTTAGAGGGAACAAACACAGGAAAGGACCTTTCTCTCTGTAGGAAAAGGAACTCATTAGGATTAGTGTTGCACAATGCACATGCTGCTGTAAAATGGTACAATGTTCTCTGGGACTTTACCAGTGGTGCAGTGTGTGAATTCATCCCAGTAAGGTCACTTATTTTTTCCTTGAAGTCATCTATCTTTAGAGGATTTGCTGGCCCTGATCCTTAAAAAAAATCAAACTTCAAATGTCAGATATTTAATATTGCAATTTCATGTAATTCAGTTATTTATTTCAGTTCAGTTTTAATTATATGGTGCCAATTCATAGCCGAAGTTTTCTCTTGGCTCTTTTCACATAGAGCAGGTCTAGACTGTACTTATGTAATAATATTTTCCTTGCCAAGAGCTTGGCAAGGAAAAACAACTTCTTTTTAATAGGTAAAAGCAGAACCTAGACTCAGGGTGGGAGGCCAACTGCTTCGACCGGTTGGGTTCACAGAGAGAGAGGATAAGAGGGGGCCTTCCCTTACAATAAGGGAAAGCTTTTATGTGTGCGGTAGTTCATAAAGGTGCGCTTTGCGTGCACTAATGCAGAGGACATTAGTTCTGTCTCTGTCTCAGGGCTTTATTATCCCCATCATAATAACTAGTAGCTAAGAGTAACTTGTGACTGGAGTCACAACATTATGTTTCCAAAGAGCCTGTCAATGTTTCTCACCTTCACTTTATTCTGCATTTGAACAGAAAGCAGAACTCCAGGGAAGTGTCATATGAAGGTAGACTATATGATGCATGTTCAGCATCACATGTTAAATTTAAGTCAAAGACATTGTCCAAAGAAAATATTACTTGTAATCATTGAGGAAGACCTTTTTTTAGTTATTATTATAAAACAAAATATAAGCCCCACTCCCCACTTCAATAATTTTTGTACAGTCCCTAACATATGAACAGTGTTTGGGTTTCTTTACCTGTGTAGTGCTCTTGATAAGATGTGACCCACTGAGTCCTCTCCAAATTTTTCAGCATGTTGCTTGTCCGCTCAGATAACGACAAATCCCAATCACGAAGTTTAGAGTTGGGTAGCACTGTCTTTGGAGGAGTGGGATAGAAAACCTGGTTGTCTCCCTTCAGTGGCTTTGTGTGCTGCAGGAAGGTGTTGTTAGAACACTTGTCTTTTTATGTATTGCATAACACAGTTCCATTACTCACATCCAAGAAGCCATGTTCACCGGTCCACATAACAGCTTTCTTCCTAGTCTTTAAGGGTGTCTCCAAGATCTCATGTCTATATGGACTACCTGTGCATGGAAATAAAGACATCTTAAACCTCCCTGGAAACATCTATTATATCGTCCCCTCTTACCATAATTTACTTACCTTTAGTTTTGTTCAGCAGAGTCACATCTGGTGCACTATTTGGGATCAAAGGGTTGAGGAAAGTTTGGGAGGCAGCTCTGACTCCTGTTTCAGGGTCGTCTGGAGAGCAGAACGATGGGAACATTGCAAACTGGGAGACGTGGGATGTATAGGGATGCTGTTTTGGGGTTGCAATCTTTAGCATTTTCTCCCTGTTGGAGGCATCAGGGAATAAAATGAAGACGTGTGCTAACGAGGCAGACACAAGAAAACTTGCAACTTGCAAACATGCATGTGTTGATATTTGTAAGGAAGGAATCAGTCTATCCTCTGTTCGTGCATCTACAGAAAGAGTTAACACAGAAAGTACTCACGCCATATTTATATCAGTTGGTTTTGGTATGCTGAGAAAAGAAACAAAACTAATGTTATCATTCATCACCACTGAGGCATACATTTTTATAGGATTTCAGTGAATTTGTTCATTGTTAATAATGACCACATTTATGATAAATCAATGGATACTCACAGCTCATCATTGAGACGAACTTTACTTTTCTTTCTGACAGTGTTGTTATAACGTTGTGCAGTGGTGATATGCCTGTGAAGGTAAAACAACTATCTGATTACGCTACAATTGATGGTTTAAATATTTAATTTTAAAAAATTTTCTACACTCACTCAGATATAATGGCTCCTCCATAACCAAAGTTATAATGGTCATTTGAATCAGGTGGGACGCCATGGTTTAGTGAGGACTTGGGCTCCATCTGGCTGCTGGAGCTCCAACTCAGAATAAAAGAAGGTGAAGAGAGGATGAAATGCTGGGGAGGGATGTCTCCACCAGTTTGTCCCTAAATGGCACACAACCAACTTGGCTCATACAACGAATGGTATGTTTATACACATGATCAACAGCATAGAAAAACTGAAAACATGTATGTTTCTTAACGACAAGATATGACTTAGCCAGAAGTGTCTCTTCTATTTTTTCTACTAAATTAATCATTGATAATTATGAAATACAGTAATTACACAGCAATTAAGCTAAAAAAAAATCACAAAAACACATATCATATCATATCACTTACCTAGGCAATGTTAAATACAAAATCAATGGGATATAATTATTTTTTTTAAGGTTTTGTGAATGGCAAAAAAAAAAAAAAAGACAGATCCTGAGAAGTCTATTTTCTTCTCCTGGTGCAGACATTGGAAGCAGTCTTCTTGGTCCAGACGGACAAGAGTGGAAATGCTGAAGCTTTCGTTGACAGAACTGGACTCCCTCGTCTTCACTTGTGACCAGTGAGGTGTGTTTGGATTCCTGGGACAGCCAGAGTGACTGTGTTACAGTAAACAATAGGATCACAGTGAGTGACACACAATCCAGCCCACAGCACATACTGTGTGAATAGAGGTGTAGTCTAAACAGCCAAAGAGTAAACACTTAAACAACATCACACATTTGGTTTGCTAAGATCAGAAGAAATATCAACTGTAACCTTTTGAACATTACTTTTTGTCCTTGTCATGTAGGCGTACAATTGTTAACATATAGGTCTACATGTGCTGATATTTCATATTACGTCAGTATTTTCATATCCAGTGGGAAATCACTGCTCAGGATGCCAATCATCCAGTCATCAAGGGTGGATCTGATAATGTTACACGTTCACAGTTTGGGAACTCATACAACTAAGCATGGGGTGGAATGAAATCAAGCTGGGTTCAGCCGGCACATGATGACACTAGATCCAAGCTGTGTGCGGGTGGTGTTTGGTTACAGGAGTCAGGTTTTGTTGTCACCATTCCTATGCAACATAAAAACAGTTACACTGTTTCAGACTGCATGCCTTAGGCAATGCCACAAAACTTGTTCAGAGAAAGTTTTTGGAGCAATCTTAAAGATAATTTCAGTCTGAGAATCACCTTGTTCTTATGCTGATTTAGAAATTGTGTGCTCATTTTGTAGAACATCTTCTAGGGTGTAGTGGATGCCTAGATGTGCGCTGTCTGTGGTGCTGTTACTCTGCAATGTAATGTAAATTGTTTTCCCATTTTTGGTGAAAAAAATGATTATGTGTCAGGATCGTTTCTAAAACTTTTCATATCAAAGGGCTCAAGGATTTGTATCAAACTGTCAAATTCCATTTGGTGCGATTTCATTACCATTAAAAGAACCTCATTGTGTCAGCCCCTAGTGAGTGACTCAAAATGATCCCTGATTTTACTAAGGGACCCCAGAAAGTCTCCTGTCCACATTTTGGGGTTGTTTATACATGTTTTTAAAAACATATTTAGGTATTATTTTATTGTATTATTTATTTATTTTATTATTTAAGAGTTTATGCTCAAAAACTCAGCTAATGTGCTCCATCAGCACTATGAGGGTATGACTTGATAAGATTTCACTGACAGTGATCAAAAAGCCTCCAACTGTCATCAGATTCTGATTTAAATGTTGCTAAATGTATCACCAGTTCCTAAATGAGCCAGTGTGAAAAGCACAGAGACAAAAAAAGTAGAGACAGAAATATCCGAAACTGTTTATGTGAGATTGCATCACTCACTGTAAGCAGTTGACTGTAAAAATACCTGATCTGCTCGTCAATCTTGAAAACATAAGAACCCTTAAAAGCAGCACCAAAATACCAGTTTTCAATCAGCACACACCCAAGACTGATGCAGCTACATCTCCTTGGACATGACATAGACTGCTTTCCAAGCAGCAAGGTTTACTTTGTTTCTTGGCTCTCACAAGACCCATATTCGGCATTCTGCTTTTTAATTGGGATTCGCAAGAGACCTTGTCCAAAGTCTCAGCCAAACACCCAAGTCCTATCAAGCAGCCTAAGCTAAGTCCAGTAACCAATTACCCTGCTCTGCCCCAGCGGAACAGACGCTCTCCGGATTACATTTCCTGCTGCTGCATTGTAAATGTGCCACAGTGATTTCAATAATATAAAGTTATTCTGCAGATTCAGGGTGATGCTTAACCCCTGCAGGGTTGTACACACCAACAGTAGTCAACTTAAAGTTCTTATAGGTACTACATTAATAACCTCTGAAACATTCAGAGAAATTAATGCACCTCTCGCCAAAGAGGTGCAGGTGACATTGGTTAATTTCTCCATTCATGTTGCAAATTGCCAGCTTGACCCCATGGGCCAACAAACTAGAGGCCCTAAAAAATTTTTGGGTCCCCTATTGACCCCTTAAACCAACTACCTGGAGCCAACCCAGGGTTTGCTGTGTATCAATTTGTTTAATATTCACCATGTAAGGAAAATATAAACTGAAAGAAACAGAACTAAACAAGACTAAACTAAAACAAGAAGGGCTTTGCAGCAAGTCTTCATACTTAAACAATAAAATTATGTACTATACAAGGCTATATTAGTATACCTATACAAGTTAAATGAGCGGTACAGCCAGTGTCTGGGTGTTTGTATGTGTGTGTGGGTGTAGTAGTGTGTGAGGGTGGGGGACTAAAACAGTATTGTAATTTTCACAAGGCCACTTGACTCCAAGGTAACACACACATCTATCTATCTATCTATCTATCTATCTAGCTGCCACTCTAAAATACTATTACAAAGGTATGTGTGCACTTAATCTTCACCCACCCCAAAATAAATATTGTATTGTTTAAATTTACATATTTTTGTTGGCATAAGCTGTCCCTTTCAATCAAGCACACTGCTGCCATTGTTCACTGTATCACAAAAAAATGGTGTGCTGCCTGCACGTTGTAAAAGTAAATGAAAAGTCAAATTCGTTCTCGGTTTTTGATTGGAGCCCCGCACAGAGTGTATAGTGGTATAGAATAAAGAGAGAGATTGAACAGCCTTCCCTGCAGTTTTCCCCCCCAGTTTCTAGGGAGCACATAGGCGCCGTGTTTTTCTACGCCTCTGCATAGTTTGTCACAGAACTCCCCAGAGACACAGTTCAATCTCGCTTGACAGACAGCTTTAGGCTACTGTTAGTCTCTCAGGCGTCATCATCCTGGTCTTTTATAAACTGAATCTATCTGACCAACTCTGCCCCCAGTATTTTAGGGAAGAATACGATGGACTGGCCCATATGGTGGATGAATGAATAACTGTTGAGGACATCACTTCTCTGAGAAGCTCGGCTGCACGCGCATCACCCCGTCGTCTAGGACTCGTCCATCTCTTGTTTGTTCTCATTTGGTCCCCGCAGCGGCGTTCACCATGACAACGTTTGACTTCTCGGATATAGAGGCGTTTTTGGACTGCCACCCAGATCTCTTCGAGGAGTATCTCGTTCGAAAGGCGAAATATGATCAGGTAAGCAGATGGTTGAGGGAGCATCAGCCGTCGAAAGTGTCCACAGCTGAGGAGAAACGCGGTGCTGCCAGGGATCCGCTCTGGCCGGCCAACCCAGACGGACTCCGGCGCAGATCGTCCCACATGGAGCTGCGAAGGAACTTCGCCCGGTCTAAAGCCACCACCACACACCGGACCTACGACGAGCATGTGAGCCTGAGCGAATACGAGTCCCAGTCCAGCATGAGGCGCCGTGCGCTTCTGCGTAAAGCCAGCTCTCTGCCTCCGACCACCGCGCACATACTGAGCGCCCTGCTGGAGTCCAGGGTGAACGTGCCCCAGTACGCGTCCAGCGCCATAGACTACAAATACAGACTTAAGGAAACCAACGAGAGGGAGTTTTTCTTGGAGTTAGTGAAGGACATCTCCAATGACTTGGACCTGACAAACCTCAGTTACAAGATCCTGATCAATGTGTGTATCCTGGTGGATGCAGACAGGTGTTCGCTTTTCCTTGTTGAGGGACCCGCGCACAAGAGGACACTGGTGTCCAAGTTCTTTGATGTGCACTCAGGCACCACCGTCAGACCATCCTCCAGCACCCTAAACTCCAATGAAGTGCAGGTGCCATGGGGAAAGGGTATCATTGGATACGTGGCAGAGCATGGGGAAACTGTAAACATCCCGAACGCATATGAGGTAGCCTAAATGTAAGCCTGTTGTAAGTGTGTACGATATCTACATATTGATATACTTTTAGAGTGAGTAAAGCAATTGATTATCGATTTATGACTGGAGTGGGGATGAGACCTGTGTTTTTTTCTTTTATTGGGAGTACAGAAACATAAACAGTCAACTCCGGGTTGGAGGTGCCCATTTATTAGCCTACATGAAAAGTATTTTACATTTTAATCAGTTGTTTCTGAAGTTCCTTGAGGAGGGGTTGCTCAATTCGAAAAACAGAGAAAATGCTGTGGGTAATTACCCCAGTTATGTCAGAATAAAAAAGAATTATCAATAGTCAAAGAAAAAGCCAGGAAAACAAGTATTATAATCCTCGCAGCTTCCCTCTAGCCAGATCTCGTCTTGTACGCTACCAGTTGCGCTCCGCATCATTATATCATGGCCCTGGGCTGCTTGGGAGGCTAAGGCAACATGATGATGCGGGTCTCCCTGAGGTGTATTAGCAACTGCAATAGTGTAGATATGTGTCAGCAAGCGGTATTACAGTTTTTTCTGCTTATAGTAAAAAGAAGAGGCCAAGAATCACACCTAACAATTGCGTCAGGGCTGCTTTATTGTGCGTGAAAGAACACAAATGTTGTAGGAATGTTGTCATAGAGGGCAATTACTGGGCACAATGAAGGGTATATGTGTTTGTTAATGTCTCATGCACATTTGATAAATGTGTAATATGTGTTTATGTGAACACCATTTCCAGGACCACCGCTTCAGTGATGAGATAGACAAGTTAACAGGCTACAAGACTCAGTCCATCCTCTGTATGGCCATCTGTAACAGTGATGGAGAAGTCATTGGTGTTGTACAAGCAATCAACAAAAATCCCATGGGTACTCCCTTTACTGAGGATGATGAGAAGGTGAGGCTTTGTTATTTCTCTCTCTCTTGAAAAAAGACATATATAAGACTGCTGTTACCAGGGGATTTTCACATCCACATGTACTTTATTGGCATTTAACATATTCAGTGTTATTGCTGTTGGTTTGACCATTAAGGGCTCTTTAAAGATTGAGTTAAAATTGGATTTTTGTGGAGCGTCCTGCAGCTGAAAACTGTTTGTACTGTGAATCTTCTTAATGGCTGTGGAGAAGGGCGAAGAGTTCCCTCTGAAGCAAAAGACCAGAAGAATGAAGGGGAGAGGTCAACCTTTTACTCAAGTGTGGAGCATTCAATATGTCTGGCTGTGCAATATATACGCACACTTAGAAACACAATTTGAGTGGATCCACTTTAAATTGCTCCCTGAGCAATCCATTGGAAATTGGTTTACTAGATTCTGCATGTTTTAACTTCTTTTACAGTTCCGCAGATTATGAATATGATTTCATTCTCCCAGTTTGTTGATGTGCAAATAATATATTGTGTATCTCGCAGATGTGAAAAGCACTGGCTTCTTGTTTAAGTGTGTAGCCAGGCAATAAAATAGTAAAGGTGATCATTTGATTCTCTCCTGGTATAAATACATTGAAAAAAAGAATCAAGATATAGATAGATGCCTTTGCAGTAAATCTTTGTAAATAAACAGCAAACTGTTTTATTGATTATTCACCTTTGCAAGAGTTCATCTGCATTTAGCTGCAACAGTTTGTCCACAAGGTGGCAGAATAAAGTTGTGGGAAATCATTTATCCTCAACACAAATGTTCTCTGGCCTCTGCTTCAAAGAAATTGACTTTATACAAAGTTTTGAGTTTGCAGTAATTTAAGCATTTTTTAAAATTATTTTACTGGATGTGAATCTAAAAGTCTAAATAAAGCTAAAGCAAAGCAACTCAACACTAAGTACTTTAAAGCAACAAAGACACTGAAAATAGAAAAACACATCAGCGTATCTAGACATTTTAGGGGCCTTGATGTCTTGCTGAAGGCCTTCTTTCTCTAAATCAATACTTCATTAACAGGGAATCTATTTGAGAGAAATTTGTGCAGAGAAGCAGCTAAGGCCATCATGACTTTCCACCCCCACCCCCGCACACCCTTTCTTCTTCAGTTTTATGCACTTTTGTTTAGCATGCAAATACCTAACATTTATGGATTGTGCATCTCTTTCACCACTTTTTTCTACTTTCAGGTGCTGCAGATGTATCTACCATTCTGTGGAATATCGATTTCCAATGCGAAGTTGTTTTCTGAATCTCGCAAGGAGTATGAAAGGAGTCGGGTAAGAGAATGTAAACTGTGCATTTATAAAACAGATGTTTGATTCATTTATAGCCGGAGAATGTACAGTAACATTAAAATGTTCATACTTAGTGAAATAAATACAGATAACAGCAATTGAATTTCACCCTAGACACATTAACATGCCTTACATTTGTGACTATTCATTAGTCAATGTTTTTTAATAAAAAGGTTACCACTGAAAGGATTTCACATGATGGCTAACAAAAAACTTCTTCTTCATCTTTCAACAACATGACATAATCAATATCATCACTGTGGTATGAACATAAGTGTCCTTTCTCATTGCCACAGGCTCTGTTGGAGGTGGTCAACGACCTGTTTGAGGAGCAGACTGACCTGGAGAAGATCGTTAGGAAGATAATGCAGCGAGCGCTGACCCTCCTGCAGTGTGAGCGCTGCTCTGTGCTTCTCCTTGAAGACATCGACTCACCTGTGAGACCTCTGGCTCTTTATCAGTTTTGAAAGTCTTTCCTGACACACAGATTATTTTACTTTAGCTTTTCCATGAAACCATGTAGCATTCCTTGTGGCAAACTCTCCCTGTCTTTGTTGCTAAATGTCGTTTCTGCTTCTTTAGGTTGTGAAGTTCTCCAAGACGTTTGAGCTCATGTCTCCCCTGTGCAACATGGACCGTGACATCAGGTGAAACAGACATGATATGAAAAAGACACTAGCATACAGACAGACAGAAATATTATTCTAGGGGGAGACTAGTGCCACAACACCAATACACACCATAAATGGATACATATGGATGTGATGTGCATTCATACAAATCCATGACACTTTGATGCATTCCCACATAACAACCCTATTAAGAAAAATTAACTCACTCAATATTTACTGCTGTTGTGTTGCATGTTTAAGTGACCGGTCCTGACTGTTTCCTGTTTTATTGGCCACATCAGCATGGAGAAGCTATCGTGTTCTGATTGGCTGATCAATAACAGCATTGCTGAGCTGGTGGCTTCCACAGGGCTGCCTGTTAACATCAGCGACGTGTGTCAAGATCCACGCTTTGATGCTGAGGTGTGGACACAATGGTCTCCCTGTTAGACCTATTACAGCTCACACACATGCATGGACACATACAATACATGTTTGTGGCTGCAGTAAGTGGGCACAGACACACCCCACAAATCCCATGATGTACAAAAAAACTTTACATTATACAGTGCTTGTGACCACTGCTGAATGTGTCTGACGTGATATGCCAAAATCTTTCTATGAACTGTCTTAAAGCCACATATTATTATTTTTCAATGTATGTATGTGTTTTAATTTAATACATTTTCCAATCAAAGAAAACTTGTGCAGGTCTTTAAAATCTAAATTTCTCAAACAAACATAAACTGTTTTCAGTCTTGCTCCACCGTCACTGTCTACTCTCTTCACAGGCGGATCAGGCCTCTGGGTTTCACATCAGATCAGTGTTATGCGTCCCTATCTGGAATCGAACTCACCAGATAATTGGTAAGTTGACCAGAAATAATCAATTTGTCCTCACTTTGGAAACCAGTTTTCATGTCACAGTCAATAATGTATGTGTGTTTTCATAGGGGTTGCACAAATCCTCAATCGCCTTGACAGGAAGACTTTCAATGATGCAGATCAGAGACTGTTCGAGGTACATTTTTGAAATTACAGATGGTTCATGAAAACTTTGCTATTGTTGCATTGGATACACATTATGCCATTTTTTTCAGGTTCCTTTTCTCTGTTTTTTTATTTCCGTACAGGCATTTGTGATATTCTGTGGACTTGGAATCAACAACACCATGATGTACAATCAAGTTAAGAAGACGTGGGCCAAGCAGTCTGTAGCACTGGATGTAGGCACTGCAACATATTGATTACAACTAGTTTTGGCTTTTTTTTCTTAACCATTTGGAAGACAAAAGACATTTATATAGATTTGTTTGTATCTATTACTTTATATATTGTTTTGTTTTTAATTTTGATCTCTTTTCCCATCATCCAGCTCTTTCAAGATGTGATATCCAAATTACAAAAATAATAAATGTAAACTAATATATAAAATCTTGTTTAGAATGAAGGATATTATAGAAATATCATATATCATCCACTAGCTACCCGTCCTTTCAAAGCACCTGCATGCCATGAATGTATTGTATACCAGCACATGCATTAAAACATGCTCTAAATAAACTATCTCTATGAAAAATTAACATCAGTACATATACATTTTAAAATACATGCTTATACACATCCAAAATCATTAAGACTACTGATCAACATTATATAAGTTGTGTTTGAACTAGACTAGTGATCTTGATTTACAACAAGATGGATTTTCATAGACGTATAGATGTATGGAAAATATTAGGTATCCATTCTGTTCAGGGAAGTGGTCACATTAAGGCTAATCTTAACAGAGGCTCTTCACATTCATTAGTGTCTCCATCTGTGTTCTGCTCCACTGCCCGGTATCTAACCTAAGCAGTCACATTATCCTCAGCAAACATGGTTCTGCTTCGCTACCATAAATATTTCAGCTCCTTTCAATAATTCAGGATAAATACATGTGCCAGTCTGCTCACCTCTCACCGAAGGCAACACACACTCCTGTATTTCGGTCACAAGATCGTTGCTGTTTCTTTAAACACCTGATGGATTTTCTTTCCTGTGAGGAGACTCAAAATATAGCAACAAATCGGTTTTAAAAGCCAAGATGTGCTTTCTTTGATCCTGATTATGTAACAGGATAAGTAGGTAAGATAGCTCTCGGAACATATTGATAAGCTTCTGCAGCAGTAAGTCTCTTTTTCAGAGTTGCTCTTATCTAATTTAGGATTTTCACCCCATTAGCCTCAGATCAGCATCAGAATATGTTTTCTAAATCTCACTGTTTTGAATTATTATTATTTTTTATTTTTTTTAAGATGTTGTCCTACCATGCAACCTGTTCCAAGGTAGAAGTTGACAGACTCAAGGTAATACTCAGGAAGATTAACACAACATTCATATATGTGCATTATAATTAACAATCTGAACTGTATGAAATCTGGTTCTTGTGAGTGGTTGTATGTGAAGTGTAATTTGAAAACTGTTTTAGTGCTTTGCCTCCTTCCTTGCGTGCGTTTGACAGCTCTGTCCTCTCCCCTTAAGGCAGCTAAGATCCCCCTGAGCAGTGAGTTAGGCATCGATGAGTTTCACTTTAATGACTTCTCTTTGGATAATGATGCCATGATCACCGCGTCACTCCGGATGTTTCTGGAACTTGGTGTGGTCCAAAAGTTTAAAATTGACTATGAGGTAAGACCCTGGAATATGTTGTGTAATATGTTTGTCAAGTGCTAGTGTCCACGGTGTGTATGTATGCACAGTATCTCACAAAAGTGAGTACACCCCTCACATTTCTGTAAATATTTGATTATATCTTTTCATGTGACAACACTGAAGATATGACACTTTGCTACAATGTAAATTAGTGAGTGTACAGCATGTATAACAGTGTATATTTTCTGTCCCCTCAAAATAACACATTACACAGCCATTAATGTCTAAACCACTGGTAACAAAAATGAAGAAAAGATATAATCAAATATTTACAAAAATGTGAGGGGTGTTTTGAGATACTGTATATCACATGTATGTCTGCTCTTTTTGTAGGTTTTGTGCCGCTGGCTTCTGACTGTGAGGAAGAATTATCGAACTGTGGCGTATCATAACTGGAGGCACGCCTTCAATGTATCGCAGTGCATGTTTGTTATGATCACAGTAAGTTTCACTATATACCAAATCAGGTCAGATTGTGTGTGTATTGCCTTCAATTAGAGTAACAGTCTAAAGTTGCTTGGCATGCCCACAAATTGGCAAATTTTAAATAAAGATGACCCAGCTTTCAAAGATGCATATCTCTTTCACTCAGTCAAACTAGAGTCAAACTGTTAAATACAGTAAAAGCACATTACCACCAAAATAAACCATCTAAACTTAGACCCTCAGTGAGGATAACGCGTTGTCAAGTTTATTTTTGAAGTTTGTCCTGAGAAAATCTCAGTGAAGTTATCACCAAACTAATCAACAATCACTTTTTAAACAAAACATTATTAGGAGGAAACATCACAGGCGAGACGTCACTAAGAGAAAATTCAAAGAAGGAATATTTGGGTAAAGTTCCAGGGTGATCAGGTATGCTCAGTGCTCATGGACATCAATAGACGAATGATCTAATTTCCCTCCAGATCAAACATTTCCCATCCCATCCCATCCCATGCCATCCCGGTCCAGGTGGGACTTATCCTATCAAATAGCAATAGGTAATACCGAATAAATAATGAGTGTTGTGGTTGACTCTGCTAAGTGGATGTGTAAAATTGTGTCTGCTTTACTTTCGGCAGACAGCCACTTTCCAGGATGTCCTGTCAGATGCAGAGATACTGGCACTAATGGTCGGCTGTCTATGTCATGACCTGGACCACAGAGGCACTAACAATGCATTTCAAGCCAAGTAAGTGATCCAGACCTAAAGTTTGATGACAAATGGACGTCTTATAGGTGACTGAAAGTTTCTCTGCTGTGTTTTTCCTGCAGGACAGGTTCTGCTCTGGCTCTGCTCTACGGGACGTCAGCCACCCTGGAGCATCATCACTTCAACCATGCAGTTATGATCCTTCAAAGTGAGGTCAGACCAATATTTCTCATATGATTATACTGCTCAAGTAATTCTGATGTCTACTGTATTAGCTGCATTGGCTGAGATTTCCTTTTGTGGTGTTAGTTTGCTTTCCTTGACTAAGGTGCTGCAAGTGTTTTACTTGAAGTCATCTAACAAATTGTGTAAACTTACTCCTTAACTAAACTTTAATGGTAATTTGGAATGGCCAATGAATTTGATCCTTTTTACTGTGAGAGAAGCGTCAAGTAAACTGTTGCATGGTATAAATAGTTTTAATATCACATGGTGTCATCTAGACAACCTTAAAAAAAATATTTTCTTCCTTCATATACTCTTTATTGGGTAGTTTGAAAACGAAGTATGCAAATATAATGGTGGAAGGTGGTACAGAGTTGTTTCGGAGCAAAAGACTTGAAACACAGACATTCCAGTACATTGTATTTATTAAATTTTTATTATTTTTATCTGCGTAATTATGGGTCAATGGTACCACAGCCTTAAACATGTTTACAATGTCTGTCCCTAAAACAACACAAATGTACACAATAAAAAATGGCATAAAAACCTAATAAAAAGCACCGATAATTGGTGACTACATGTCTGATCCCTCTTTGGAAACTGTTTCAGCATTCTATGTTTTTTAGTGTACTGGATTACTAGAAAGCCACTGGTGTGCAGTTTGAGCTTCGGGCCAGTGCTGAGCACAAACCGCCTGCTGGTAGGCGGCAGCAGTGACCAATAGTGACATTTCGAGGCTGCTTTGTCTCAGGTGTAGATCAGTTTGATCATTAGGAACTGTGTTCTCTATTGATTTATTTCACAGTGGACAGATAAAGTCTATACACATTGCTAATTAACACTGATAATGAGAGCTTCATTTGACAGTGAGCGATGACTTTACCAATGCATCGGCTCTAAGGAGACATTTTTGCCACTATTACTCATGCGTGCCTGCTTTTGTGTATGTGCCTACTCTATGCTATTGTATTTTTCTTTCTCTCAGGGTCACAATATCTTTGCAAACCTCTGCTCTAAAGAGTATAGCAACATGATGCAACTATTGAAGCAGGCCATTCTCTCCACAGACCTTACTTTGCACTTTGAGTAAGTGTTTTTTTTAATGGATTCAGAGGTGAAGTAGTTCATTATTGGTAAAATAAACACAACTGAAACAGATTATTACAGATTAATGTATAAACTATTACATGCAATTGGAAGAATTGTCATTCAAATGGTGAAGTGCTGGTGTGGTGAAAGCTGTCTTGTGTGTCCTTTAAACATTTTCTTTGTCCTTAACTCCTCTCTCTCTGCATTGTAAGGCGCAGAACCAAGTTCTTTGAGTGTGTTCTGTCTGGAGAATTCAGCTGGACTGATGAAGGACACAGAGAAGTTCTCAGGTTTCTACCTTTGTGCTGAATA